GATATAAATCGATATTTTTGACCAAATCGATAGATATTTTTGCCAAAACAAATCGATATTTTCTCTGGTCCCTGCCAATCACCTGCTACCGTTTGATATCCACGTGCATATTTTTGAAACCCTATACAATAACTATATAGTAAGAATCATAGTATTTAATATGACCGGATGACTATGACTAAAAAGTCATATAGGAAAAAAATGGTATGACATAGTCATCGGCCAACACTGCTAGAATCTAATGTGGATATACTGCCCCGCAGTAATTACAGTAGTCTTTTTGAGTTAGTTCCACGGTATGGACCAAATTTTAGATTGCACAAGGTTTTCAAGGGTTCTGAACATTTTTACTTAGTACATCTGACCCCTGTTAGTCAATTTTTTGAGATATAGCATCCTGGATATCAATATTCCCCGGTATAAATTATAAATATTCCAACTTCAAAAGGTAGCAATATAAGTCCGGAGCGAAGTCACATGAGATTATTGTATTGTACAAATATTGGGCAGACAGAACTTTTCAAAATTGCGTTTTTGATGTGATGCAATGAATTGATTAACCAAGCATCAAAAAACACAACATTTGGTGTAATTTCTGTATCAATTTACTGATCAATTTAATGTCCTCCACTACGCTCCGGGCAATAAAATCATAAAATCTTTGTGTAGCTAAAAAACTTTTACTGACAACCACCTCCGATCTCCAAATAAAAATATGCAGCACGAAATTTTTAGTTATAGTTTTATGTCAATAAATATGAAATTTCCAATTATATTACGGATCGGAATGGAGGACTAAACATAAGAATATTTAACTTCCAAGTTCTTGAATTGTAAATTCATTTAAAAAAACAATGAGTGTATGATTTTTATTAATTGAAATTTATATCATAGTGTAAATTAATTAAATATTAAAAACCCAATACTTTTCTCCTCTTCTCTTTTAATAATCTAAAAAGTTCGTGCCATTCTAAGTAAAGGATGTGCTTCAGTATTAAACACATAAGTATCTAATGAAATAAGATCAGGTGGACTAAATAGTAAATATAAGTATTTTAATGTTTCAGCCAAGAAAAAGCTATATATTTTAAATAAAAACATTAAGAATCAGATATTAGTATGATAATAATAGTATGATAAAATAGTCAAATATATATAATGAATTACCTTTCCATATTGTTATTCTGTACAGCGTCCTTTGAATTTATATTATATAACCCTGAATAAGCTGAAGGTGTTTTACACCATTTTTCGATGGCCTGCAATGATAATAATAAAACGATGATTGGATTTATTATTAATGAAACAAAAAATTAATTATAGTTTTGACGTTACCTGCCATATTTTCCAACCCTTATCTTGATATTTTTTATCACCTGTTACTCTGTATAGTATAAATAAACTCTCAATAGTTTCTGATCAAAGTAAAATAAATAAAGTAACACAATCACAAACGTATAATTAATCAGAAAATTGTAAAAAATTATTTAAAACAGAAGAACGAAATAAAATAAAAATGTATCTTACCTGGTCTCAATATATAAGAATCACTCAATCGTAGCACACCAATTGGAAGGTCCGCATTTTCACTTTTTTGCTTCAACAATTTTTTTTCGGATTCATTATACGAATCATTACTTGACATAAACCAGAGATCTTCTGGGCCAATTCCAGTGTAAGTCATTTCATAAGCAAAATAGCATGCTTCTGCTAATTTTATTGCAACCTCGAGATCTTTAGGTCTATCGAGAACTTTTGATCCAATGGCAAGCATCCCAGGAACAAAACATGTCTAAAAAAATTAAAGATGTTTTAGTTTAAATAAAAATGTATCAAAAAAAAGGTTATTACTTGAAGTTACCAAATGCTGCAGCTTTCCAACAAAAGATCCGTAAGATAGTTCGCCAATAAAGAGCAAATCTGGACGATCTTCAATCATACCTCTTCTAATAAGGTATTTGTGCATACCATCAATTGATTCAATATCTAGGTAAAATTATTAACAAACTATTAGACAAGTAAATAGTAGAACATGCATTTATTTAGTTATATCTATATATACATACACATTCTTCGAAATTGATCGATCGCACCTCCAACAAAAATGTATTGTTTTATTAAATACTATTTTTATAAATTAATCAAAAGATTAAACACGAAAAAATTTGGTTAGTTTTTGATAAAACAAATGTATATTAAGAATATTAAGAATATTAAGATCACAAACCTCATAAAAACTGTCACCATTACCACCAAAGGATATATCGTCTAATCAAATTTACGAGTACTCGCTAAATCATATGTGAAATGATACTAAACTTGAATTTAAAGAAATTAAAACCTACGTCCTACGAATTCACCAGTTTCTAACAGAATTGGAAAAATTTTACGATTAAAATAAATTGCAAATATTAAACAAAGGAGCTCTGCAATTAAAATTTACAATAAAATAATAATTCAAACCATGATCTAGTTGCAAAGGATATAATCCAGGGAAAGGTTTTGTCAAACTATCGAGTATGTCTGTTATATTGTTAACCTTTAAAATTACAAATATTATATAAAATGTTAATAACAACCACAATGTTACATGGCAATGTTAAATTATAAGGACCTTATAAAAAAACTCGCTGTCACCGGTCAGTTGAGCTAATTTCATAAATTCCAATTGCAAAGTTCCAACTTGAGCCAAAGAACCCAAACCCCAAGGTTTATCAAAATCATCCTCATAATTCCTGTAATTGATAGAAATTAAATAAATAATTCCTGTAATTGATAGAAATAAAAAAGTATACAAGAGTAAAATAAACCAACCATTTAAGATCCCAATCATTATAGGGAAGACCAGAACCACTATTAAAAGAAGGTAATAAAGCGTTTCCCAAGTCTAACGCTTTTTTTAAAAATACAGGATCATTTGAAAGTTCATATGCACTCAATAAACCACCCAAATAACGGATAGTAGTCTCAAATACACTAACTCGATCATCGCTTGTAGTAAAATCCACAGTTTCAACGAAATCTCTTGAACGATTAAACTCATCCTTTAAATCCATTATCCAAATCGTATCCAAAGAATCAACAATGGTTGCACCCCAACCATTAAAATTATCACGACTATCATTAGTTACAGGTTCTAATTCATCTTTTCCCCAAGCATATTTCGTGTATCCACTCCAAGCATGTAGAAAACCTTTTTTTATAGAATCACGTCTGTATTCACGAATTAATTTTTCATTTAATGTTTCAGGAATATCAAAATCATATTGTATTTTAGGAAGACGGGTAACATTTTTTAGATATACATCAGATCCAAGATAATATGAAATTTTTAAGGAAGGGTCAAACCAAAGTGAATAATCAAAAATATCAGAGATAAAAATGAATTGGTAAGATAAGAACGTAATTATAAGTAAAAGAATTATAGTAATTCGAAGGCGAGCATTTAATCTCCATGGTATTTTAACAGTAAATTTTCGCATTGCTCGCTAAGCTCTATATTGCTAAATGACAATTAGAGAGAGAGAAAAAAAAAAAAAAAAAAAAAAAAAGAGTGTAGGAAAAGAGAAGACCTTATTTTTCTTGTACGTCAATCGTTAATCAAGTATTTTAAGCTAAATTAGGTTCGTGTAATGTGTGTGTACCATCTTTATCATCACATTATACATTACCAATAATAAATAAGATTAACACGAATATATGGAGAGAGCGAACTAAGCCGTATCGAATTAGGGTTCGATTATTTACGCTTTTAGTCGGTATCATATAAATTCACATAGGTATAATTATAATGATTTTGGAACCCGTGAACGATTTGCTTAATCGTCAGTCGATCAAATAAGTCTCTTATGGTACTTATGGTACGTAAATACGTTAAAAAGCAAATCGTTTGCATATTAGTGATATTATGTTGAAATGCAAATTGCAAAATAAAAGTTTAACCTTGAGATTAATAAGTATTTTATTGTTAATTACTTTCTACAATTCTACAATAAGTAGATTTAAAATGGACGAGTTCATAGTTTAAAAACGCTATCGCAGTTCAACAAAGGTCGGGAATTACATGATCTATGTGAAACGCACTGTCCCTAGCGTTGCAGGCTAAACGGTTTTTGCAGAATCCGAAACATTTTTACCCATTTTATAAATAAAAAAGGGTAAAAATTTCGGTTTAGTTCACTGCAATATCTGCCTAAATCTATGACTTTATGGTACGTATCTAGTGAAATCGTATGTCGTATTATAGAAATTTAAGAATTCCTTACATAAATTAGTTTAAATATATTTAAATATTGCACTAATTTGTGTGTAAATGATCACAAATAGTCTAAATAGTCTGTGTAAATTATCAGAACTTTACTACATACGTACGTACGTATTACCAAAAATTAAAATCGAAAATTCCATCTTATGGATGCGATTTGTTGATCATATCAACGTCAATTACCTTTTGGCTAGCTAAAAAGCTTTTACTATAAAAATTCCTGGGTCGGTCGCGTATTATATTATACTTAAATTTATATTACTTATATTCAACTATAACGGAAATTTAATAAACTCCTGGCGCGTGAATGTAGACATATATATACCAATTTTGTTCAATAATCGTTATGCATAAACGTCACAAATGTCATGTCAAGGAGAATAAACGACGATTTGATGCATTGTAATCTCTGTTGTCTGTGCTAGCATAGGTTGAACTGCAGGTCCAATAATGCCATGTGCATAGAAATTAATGATTAATAAGTAATCATGCAAACTTGCGCTGCATAAATTCTCAACGTCTCATAACAATTGGTTTCAGCTTTAGCGTATCATTAAGCATTTCTTATCGTTATTATCCCTTAAACCGTTTGAAATTCAGGGCAAATTTGCCCTGAATTTTACTATAAAAATACTTCTGATCTATTTT